ACGATGACCCAGGAGCGCCCAGAATCGAATCGATCAGTCGGATCGGCGATCGGAACGAATCGGATCGACGGAAATCCGCAGCCAAGTCGGGAGACGTCGAATCGGCGGAAATCGGCAAGCCAGCAAGGCCTCCATGGAGAGACCAGGATCGGGATCAGAGACCGAAACCGAACCGAATCGGAATCGGAATCGGAATCAGGTTTCGCTCCCCGTGGGGCCCTCGCCCTCCTCCTCCTCCTCCTCCTCCCCTCCTCCTCCTCCTCCTCCCCTCCTCCTCCTCTTCTCCTCTCCTCCTCCCTCCTCCCTCCTCCTCCTCCCTCCTCCCTCCTCCCTCCTCCTCCTCCTCCCTCCTCCCTCCTCCCTCCTCCCTCCTCCCTCCTCCCTCCTCGAGATCGAGTCGGGTCAAGTCGGAGGAGTCGGCACGAGCCCCGATGACCTGGAGCGGCGACGGGGGCCCCCGAAGGGGGGAGGCCCCGCGCTCTCGGGCAGCACGGGGCCCCGTGGCCCCGGGGGCGACCGGAGGTCGAGGCCTCCAAAAGGAACGAGAACGGCACGAAAGCCACGAGCACAGACGTCCCGTCGAGTCTGTTCCGCGCCACGAGAGGCTGTTTCCTCCTCCTCCTCCTCCTCCTCCTCCTCCTCCTCCTCCTCCTCCTCCTCCTCCTCCCTCCTCCTCCTCCTCCTCCTCCTCCGCAACCTCCTCCTCCCCTCCGCAACCTCCTCCTCCTCCTCCTCCCTCCTCCCTCCTCCTCCCCTCCTCCTCCTCCTCCTCCGCAACCTCCTCCTCCCTTCCCTCCTCCTCCTCCTCCTCCTCCTCCTCCTCCTCCTCCCTCCTCCTCCTCCTCCTCCTCCTCCTCCTCCTCCTCCTCCTCCACGAGGAGCTGAGGGCCACCACCCCCCCCCGTCGGCGCCCCTGAGTGGCCCGCCGGCCCCCCCGCGGGGGACTCTCCGAGTGCCCCGGGGGGGGGGGTGCCGCGGCGACCGCTGCGTCGGCCTCCCGCCGCCGCGGAAGCGCGCGCAGTGGGCGCGGGCCTCACCCAGAAGCGAAGGAAGCAATGAGCCACGGCTGCCCTCCTCGATGATCCCCAGAACGTCGTCGTTGTCGTCGTCGTCGTCGTCGTCGTCGTCGTCGTCGTCGTCGCTGCCGTCGGGCAGGTACGGCGGCGCGAACGTGCGTTTGACCACCGGAGGCCTTCGACACGACGCAGGCGGCGCAATGAGGGCCGACCCAAGCGGCGTGCTGCCCCTGGAGCTGAACGGGGAAAACACACATTAGGCGAACATACGTCCCACAGATTATACAGCAGTGAGGAAGAAGCACTCGGTACGCGCACACACACACACACACACACACTTTGCGTCGGCGGCTAGGCAGAGTCACTGGACTGGCGAAAGAAGCGTGGTGTGGTGCACGTAACTCGAATGAGGCCACCATGCAAGAGGAGGAGGAGGAGGAGGAGGAGGAGGAGGAGGAGGAGGCGCCTGGCGGCGGCGGGGGGGGAGAGGGGGAAGCCGGGCCCGCTCACAGCAGGGCCAGACACACACACATGCACACACACACACACACACACACACACACACACGCGCACAAACTGTCAGAGGTTCGCGCGGATTTCTCGGATCGGCGCCAGACGCCGCGCCGCCCGGCGGCGCCTACGGCGCGGCCCCTGGCGAGCTCCGCGCGCTGGGACAGGGGGGTCCAGCGCCGATCCAAGAAATCCGCGCGGACCTCCGAAAGTTCGCGGTCATGTCAATGGTTGTTATTATGGCCCTGTGGTGTAGCGGAGCGTTCGTTCATCCCTACGATTATCTCCCTCGGCCCGTGGTTGGTGGAAAGACTGCCCTCCCCAGGACGCCTGGCACGGTGCCGAGTTCGATGGTCCTGAAGGACCCAGGACCTCGCCCGATGGTGAGCGTTGGGGCCATCTGTTTGTCGACGCTTCCTGCCAACATCACCCGTTTAGAACACGGTTGGAAGGAAATCTGGTGTCTGATGTGCTCGAGGTAGCTGCCCCTCAGGACACCGATGAGGCGGGCATTTATCCAGCATGCAGGGGCTCATCGTGCAAGGGCATACAGACAGCGACGCAGGTGCCAAGCATACTCTAGATCTTCACTCTCAGAATCGTGTTCACATGAGGGCTGAAGACGACTCCGTGTCCTAGCTGCTCATCGTACCCCTCACTGGCGCTAATTGTCTTTCGAGTTTCCTCGGATCCCTGGACCCCCTCAGCCTGCAGGCCTCCAGATGGCTGGAAGCGCCGGCCTGGCACTTGGAGGTGAGTAGCCGTTGCTTGGCCAGGAGTGAAGCTCTCACAGGCCAGGTGCGTGCCTGGAGAAGCCAGAGTTACATGATAGCATGAACTGTGGAGACGGCTCTGCCTTGATTTGTCTGAAACAAGCATTCGACAGGAGGCATGGTGAAGAAAGTTGGTCATGAGTGCAACGGCCATCTTTCACGGCATGCCCATGGATGCTGGCGAGTGCTGTGTGTTGGGCG